ACTGACCTTGCCCTGCAGAGTATGAACTTCATGGCAGTGCTCAGTGATCACAAGGTTTTCCACTCAGAGCACAAATGGGAATTTCAGGCATGTTTTACCATGAAGTTTGCTTGGAAAGCTCTGAGCTTGTCTCCTGGCACCCTTTGTAATTCATGCCACAACTTAGATCTGCATTATTAACCATAACATTTTATATTTACAGAGCATCCTCCAGCCAAGGATCTCAGCACACTTTCTATCTATTATTAAAACCTTTCAACATGCCTGCAGAGTGAATTTGACATAATTTAGGAGATGGAAAAACTGGAACACAGAGAGGAAAAAGGCCAAAAATTTAAAAAAGAAGTTATTTTATTATATCTTCTATTATTTTCCTGGGGAAAAAAATATTTTGTACATATCTTTAAAAGTTCTCAGGCTTGACAAGATTAATAAAGTCGTTCAGCCAACTATGACCATCATAGATGTGCCCAGAGATGACAGTGCCTGACACAGTCAACAGCAATTCTCCAAACAGCAATGAGAATATTACATATTTTTTGTTTTATTAACACAGAGTGTACACGCAATTATCTGTGGCAGGTGCTTGTATTTACTCTACAGAAATTCACACAAATTTGATTTTCCTAATAGCCAATTTCCAACAAAGCCTTGCCAAAGGTGACTTGTGCTAGTTCTGTTCTAGCCATGCAGTATGTTTGCCATGTTTAATTGGCCTTCAGTGGCTCCTTACTCCTGTCAAGGATAATCTGCAATTGGCTGAATGGAAGCAGAGAAGAAATGTACCAGAGTGACTTGGAAGAGATTCCTATTTTTAGGACAACAATGGAGTCATTGGCAAATTCCCTTGGGATCCTTTAGGATTGGTCAGCAGCTCATCCAGGTTACAGGCTGGAGGTTTGGTTCTTTTGGGTTGTAAGAAAATCAGATCTTTCCTACTTTGTGACTCAAGTTGCTGATGTGGAGTGCAACAAAGGATGGTTTATTTTGAAGGCACTCCAAGGTTTTTCAAGAATAGACAGAAAGAAAACTACCATTCCTGACTTACGAGCAAAATCAGAGATGTTTAATATGCTTTATGTCGTCTAAAATATAAACCAATCTTGGGATGTTATCTAATAAGCACTCTAGTGCAAGCAAAAAAAAAAAAAATCTGGCTTCAACTTTTCTGCCAACCTACAAGCTGCCAAACAGACCAAGTGCTGCAGACTTGTAGCACTACGATTCCATGCTGCAGTTACGCCACCTACAGGCACTGATACCAACTCTACAACAGGTTTGCCTGTCAAAGTGCTGAGGGAAGACTTCACTTCCTAACCTTCAACTCGTAAGAACATTTTGTTCAGCTTATTAAAAATTAACACAAACATTTAACTAACTGAGCTGGCTTCTTCCCTATCACTTATGTACTGTGACTATGAAGCAACGGGGATACTGAAATCTACTTTATCAAGTGACTTTTGTGACAGGTGGGATATATTACAACAAAGCCAGAAATAGATACAGCCTCCACTAAAACCCAGTTTGGGGGGTGATATACAGACCTCCCAACACCATGTATTCCTGTGCCCAAAATAAGCTGTGCAATATGAATAATGATGATGTAATTACTTCAAGGGATTTAGACAATCAGTTTGAAGAGACTCCTTTTATGCAAACAAAAAAAACTCATTAATGTTTTTATGAAGGCAAGCAGTGGGGAAGAAAGTTTTCCAACAGAGATGTCAGCACCTCCAGTAAGACTGTACAGTGTCACCCTGTTGTCTGGGGGAAGGGGCTGTTTCCAAAGCCAGGACAAAGTCAAGGACCACAGTCCAGGTCCCCTGCCTACTGGGCTCTCCTGCAGCTCTGCTGACAATCCACTCCTCCGGCTCTGTTCACATTCCCAGGCCTGAGATGATTACAGGCCATGGTATTGCAGCTGCCCTCTCAAGTCTCCTTGGGGCTTAATTTCCTGAGAATTAAGTCAGAACGCACACAAGATAATTAAAAGATGTTCTCTCATCCCTCTTTCCTCACCCCAAGGGACATTTTAGAGTATATACTATTTACCAGCTGCCATACAGTCTGTTGTTCAACACTCGCTTCCACTTTGAAGGTCTTTCAGCATTTAGAGAGGGCCTGTGAGAAAGATGGGGACAAATATGTTAGCAGGGCCTGTAGCAACAGGACAAGCGTGATGGTTTGAAATGAGAAGAGAGTTGATTATTATTAAATATAAGGAAGAATTTTTTAAATATAGCATGGTGAAATGAAAGCACAGGTTGCCCAGAGAGGTGGTGGATGCCCCATTCATGGAAACATTCAGGGCCAAGTTGAACTGGGCTCTGAGGAATCTGACGTAGTTGAAACTGTCCCTGCCCATTGCAGGAGGTTGGACTGGGTGACCTTTAAGGTCCCTTCCAACTCAAATTATTCTGTGACTCTATAAATAACTCAGCTGATGTTACTGTCCTTTTGTCTGTGATTTTCCTACATTCATCTGGTTACAGATAGTGCCAGGGGGATCTATTTTGCATTCAAGCCTCTCAGGCTGCTGTGAGGTCTTGGTACCAAAGGACGTTGGGTGAGCTCCATTGTATTGTGCTAGCACTGGTCTGACAGAGGCTGCTCTGGTTTTTGGATGGCTGAGAGATGTGCCATGGACTGGGAGGGAAGAGGCAGCTCTAATGTTGAGAAGGTTTGTGACACTGCTTTGTCAGGTGGGAATAATACTAAGGGGTTTTAGCAGAGTACCTGGCTAAATCTGAGGTGAGTTTGATAATGGGGCAGCCTGGTGGGCTTGTTTGCTGGATGTAGGTGCCTGAAGATATGCAGGACTCCAGTCAGACTGGGGCTGGATGTTTCTCCTGCTCCTCGTGACTCAGAGGGACAGCTCTCAGAGAGGTGTGAAGGTTTAATTTCTTTTGTATCCTGAATCCAGGATGTTGCTTCCACTTTTATTTAGTGGTGAGTTGTTTGCCCCATCTCTCAGCTCACTCAAGCTCAGCACAGCCTGTGAGCTTCCAATTAGCTAAGGACACTTCCCAAAAAGATAAGAAGGACACAGACAGGCAAGGGGTTTTCACTACTCAACAAATATTACTTGCCCCCACAAACCTCAGCTAAGGCATTTCTTGCCTGCTTCACTTAGGCTTTTTTACACCTGGAAGGAACAATAACTGCTTTAGTTAAGATAAGAAGAACTTCTCTGTGTCCATATAGATATGTCCATGGCATAACAACAACTGGAAAATAACTGTGAATGTGCCTGTCTGAGTAGGAGATGTTACCAGTGTGGCCACAAGCCCTTTTTAATGCACAGATTACACATACTGGCTTAGGTTCTAAATAACAGTGTATTGCCATAAATGGTGCAAACAGTATTAAGATCTGGGGGAAAGCATGGGAAAAATATTCTTGGTTTCCATACTATAGACTTCTATTCCGCTTTATCCTCCTGTCTTCAGTGTCTCTTCCCAGATTCTCCTCATCTTTTCTTTTCTTTTGTCAAAAGCATCACAAAAGCCTTTCTTTTACAATACCTTTTTCCAGTCCCCACAGGTCTCTCATGCTCACCTCTACCCTTTTTCTCTTTCAAGTCCTCCATTTACAAGAGGACACAGAAAGGAGCTACAGTTTGGACAAAGTTCAAAGGTATTGTTTCCAGTTGTATAAGCTTCACCTTTATCAACATTGCCATCATCTCCCGAGCACAGACTGCTGGCATCTGAGCTCCAGCCTTTGGTCAGACTTCAGCAAGCTCAGTAACCCAAAGGAAGGTTGTTCTGTGACTTAAGAAAGCCAGGATCCATTTTGGGACACAAAATCCCTTTGCAACTCCGAGTAACTCATTTCACCTCTATGTGATCTTAATTCATTGCTTTAACTTTTGATATATCATATATAAAGGAGGATAAGGACAATCTTGAGAACGACGCAGTGAGATGGTCCAACAGGGCATTTAGACTCCCTATGGAAATGAGATGTAAATAAGCACCCAAATCTGCACACAAACTGTCATCTGTACAGTGTGAGGCTGCAAACATTGGGTGACCTGCTCTCTGGTAACTTTGCAGCGCCCTTTGCAGGGACACACAAAATCTGAGGAGCCTTCAGCATGATAGCTCTGGCCAGGATGTGTGAATGATGTTCTGTGCAAATGGTGCTGATTTCCCCAGGGCTGACAATAGAAATGTAGAAATAATTTCTTTTTTTCCCCCTTCTCCTGTAGTATTGAGGGTGTATTTTTCCAATAGCAGTGCAACATTGTGAGACACCGAGCTTTGCTTTCAGGCACCAGTCACACCTCGTCGGATGATGCAAAACCAGTGCTTCAGCTCGACCTGAAGCACCGGACACAGAAATATTTCCATAATATAGAAAGGTTGGACATTAGGGGGAATTCCCTCACAGAACAGGTGATTAGACATTGGAATGCAATGCACAGGACGATTAGACACTGGGATGCAATGCACAGGGCATTGGTGGAGTTACTATTCCTGCAGGTGTTGAGGAAAGACTGGATGTGGCACTCAGTGCCCTGGTCTGGTTGGAAGGGTGTTTTTCAGTCATAGGTTGGATTCGATGGTTTCAGAGGTCTTTTCCCACGTAATTGATCCTGTGATTCTGTGATTTACAACGTCTCCATGCACTCCATTGCCTGCATTTAAATCACGAGAGGTGCCACGGAGATAAAACACACGCTGCAGTGTGTGCATGATACAGCTGCTGCTTTCTCCCCTTTAATCTCTATTTTAATGTCTCTATTTTCTAACTTCTCCGCTTTCACCTCTATTTCCCCCCACTCTAGGTGTGCCGGCGTCAAAGAACCGCTCACGGACCTGCCGCCCCTCAGCGCCGCTTCCCGCCAAAACCCCCTCTCCTCCCCAGCAGAGTCTGCCCCCCGTTGCTATGCGCGGTGACGCGCCTCTCCTTGCTTTTTTCATTGGATGTCTTGGCGGTGACGGGCGGGCGGTGCGGCGCGGGATTGGCTAGGGGCGGGCGCGCGCGGTGCAGGTCGGGGCGGGTGGGGCCGATGGCGGCCATCGGTGTTCATCTGGGAGCCACCTGTGCCTGCGCCGCCGTCTACAAGGTGAGGGGGGGACGGGGCTGGGGGGCTGCTTGGGGGTCCCTGCCGGTCGGAGGGGGCGGGCCGGGGCGGGGCGGCGAATCCTCGAGGGGCGGCTCACGGGTGTCTCTGTCTCTCCCCTCAGGATGGCCGCGCAGACGTGGTCGCCAACGACGCCGGGGACCGAGTCACCCCCGCGGTTGTGGCGTTCTCGGAGAGCGAAGAGGTGAGGCGGAGGGGAGGAGGGAGGGGGGCTCTGCGTGCTGCTCACTTTTTTTATTTTTTTTTTTTTATTTTTTTTTTTTTACTTTGTTTTTTTACTTTTTTTTATTCAGGTGGTTGGCTTAGCCGCAAAGCAGAGCAGGATCAGAAATATTTCGAACACTGTAGTGAAAGTAAAGCAGATCCTCGGGCGAAGGTAAGAGAACGGGTGTGGAAGGAGCAGTGAGAAATTTGGTTTTCTCTGTTAAAGCTGGTCGGTGAAACCTCTCAGCGCTCATGCTGGAGGCATTTTAATGTATTGTGACAGTATTTAATTTAACCTGGCATTGGCATGTAATCTCTGAAAAAAATAATTCTATTATCATAGTCACAATACTTTGGGTTGGAAGGGACCTTAATGATCCTCTTATTCCACCCCCCTGTAGTGGGGCACGTGGAAGGCACACTGTCCACTAGACCAGTTTTATATTATAAACTTCTTAGCCTACATTTCATTCCAGGAGCAAAGAGGTGTGTAGTATTTTAGGTGTGAATTTGTCTGCGAAAATCAAACTGTGAAATTTAGTAACAAGTTGCACATGTGCTTTTTTATATATACTTAAATTACTTAACTGTCTTGTTAATGGGTTGTTTTTCTGCATGTAAAATGCACTGTGCTTTTGTTTGCATGAAACTTTTATTGTAATAGTGAAACACACTGTTGTGATTCCTCAGTCAGTGGAACTGCGATGGCTTGCACTGGCAATTGCAGTGACTAGAACAAAACTTGGGTTGTTCTAGTTGGTTGTTGGGTTAGATCTGACATCAGACATGCATCAGAACTTTTTAGTGATGACCCAGCTGTGTATTGCAGCCCCTTCGTGTTGTCCATTCTGATGTATTTCCCAGCACTTTTCATGTCATAACTTTATTGAGATCTTTTATAGTGATCACTGGGGATAGCAGGTGGAAACAATGTGTTGGGTTTTGTTTTCCCCTTTCCCTAACTAGTAGGTATTTTTTCAATCATTAGTTATGGAAAGAAGATGGAAAGTCAGAACTGTTGGTTTTATTTCTACTGTATAAATGCATCTTTAGAGAGGAAACGGGAATTTTGGTGGAAGTATAGTTTGATATACTGAAGATGTTTATAAGGAATATGAGCAAGGTGAATTTGTGCAATTACCCTTGAGCAAATGATTTATCTTGTTATTTTGAATTTGTCTGGACAGCGCTGGTGACCCTCAGGCAGAGAAATATATTGCAGAAAGCAAGTGCTCTGTGAGTATGATCTGGGATTTCTGCTGTTCCCAGAGTAACTTATATAACTTTATATTTTTCTTCTTGTCCTTGTTTGTGCCATTCATGTCTGTGTTCTGTAATGATCAGCTCTTCATATGAGGTCCACTTGCTGCTGTCTTTCTGTTTTTATCAAGTAGATAACCATGTTCTGAGATCTGCCAGCATGACATAGTCCAACAGAAAAATTCTTACCTGTCTCTTGGACATTCTCTAAAGGGATGAATCTTAATATATTTGGGTAGTAGCATTGTGGGTTTTCTTAGTGCTGGTAGAAGGTGGTCAGGTTACAGCACCTTGTGATAAAAATGCTTAACCACTCGATGTAAATACAAATTTAATTTGAATAATGCTGTGCTTGTTACTAGAAAATTTTGCAAAACAGGAGAAAAAAGTATCCTGGCAAATGCATTCATAAAGAAGAAGCAAGTTTTTCCCTGGGTTTTGGCTGTTTGTATTGATGTGCTTTTATAAATTGCTGGGCTTTTTCTTATGGGATATAACCAGGCAAGCACTTTTGTTCTAAACGTTGCTTTTGTACTAAGGAAAACTTAATAGAAAAAGGAAGTCTGGAGTCTTTAAGTCTTTGAATGTCACTGTTGTGTGTGTCAGATGATCCAGGTCTTTTTGTGATCTTTGATAAGCATCTTGGAAGCATTTATTTCCTTGTAATAGAGAGTATTTACACAGTCCAGTTCTTTTTACTTTGAACAGAAACTAAATTAAACATTATGGTTTTTTATTAACCATATTGCATATCTAACAAAGGTGTGTTGGTTTTGCTTACAGATAATTGAGAAGAATGGAAAACTTCAATATGAAATAGATAATAAACTTATTAACCCAGAAGATGTGGCAAAACTGATTTTCAGTAAAATGAAAGGTAATAATAATTGAAATCATAACACATTTTAGCTTGTTAAGCTGTTCTCATATTTTTAAGATGTAGTATATTGTTTTTTTATGCTTTTAATAACATGTTCTGCCTGTGTTTATAAACAGAGACTGCTCAGTCTGCATTGGGTTCAGATGTAAACGATGTTGTTGTCACTGTGCCATTTGATTTTGGAGAGAATCAGAAAAATGCCCTTGGGTAAGAGGATTAAGATTTTTCTGTTACTTAATGTACCTAAAGAACACAGGCTGGAAGATCAGCAGTGGCAGTTCTCCTGCTGGACTTCAGCTTGTGACTGTCAAGATATTGGGATGTTATTTGAATGGGGAAAATATTAAAGCAGGAGATTAAATCCTGGGTTTAGAAATTTTTTATGGAATTCACTGATGTAACCAAAAGGACATTCTGAATCATTTATAGAGAGAGGGAATTTTGGTATCATCAAGGACAGAACATCATTTCAGATCAGGATCTTCAGTGTCACCTTTGAAGCTTTGAAATAGTTTCTCACCCTCTTTAATTTCCCTTCCTTCATACTTACCAAACCAAGTGGTGTTACTTGACTTGCTGAGGACTCTTTTGTCAGAGTTTGGATGTGGAAAATACACCACTATTCTATTTGGAAAGTCTCTTTGGAATCAGTTCTGCTGTTACAGTTCCTCTGTATGAAAACATAAGTATGCTTAAAGCTGAGCATAATTGGCAGCATCTACTGTTCTGTAGTAGATGCTGATATGTAGTAATAGTATTTCTGATATGTGGAAGCCCTTATGTTTAACTGTCATGAAATACTTAAAACGCACCTAAAAGTTGGTCATAAAACATGAGTGAGCTGGATATTCGCAGTACTTATAATGAAGCATTCTGTTGCTCTGGTATAACAGTTTCAAAATAATTTCAAAGTGGAGGGAACAAGTTGCAGGGCAGTCCCAGGGTTACTGAAGTTTCCAGAAAACATGTAAAGAAAGTGTTACAAGTGAGGCGCGGTAACTTCATTTTGAAGCAAAGTGGTTTCTTTAGCATGTTACCTGTTGAAATAATGTATCGAGAGCTTTTAATACCACACCTGAAGATAAGTTACCAAGTTTGATTGAGGGTAGGGGGTTTAATCTTGTGGTTGAAGGGGGTTTTGCAGTTTTTATGGGCTATGTAGATTGATATATGAGAGTTTTCATTGACAGTAAGCACTCAGCAGATCCAACTACCTCAAGAACACAATAGCAACTGAACTTAGTGCCTTCCTTTTCCAGTCACTTGGCTTTGCTAATACCATGCTGTAACCAAGTTCTGAGTTCAGATGAAATGTTAATAGTGTGTGACTATAGTGAAACCATTAAAGGAAAATGAAATGCTGCTGTGCTTTATCGCAGGGAAGCAGCTGCAGCTGCTGGGTTTAATGTTATGAGATTAATCCATGAACCATCTGCAGCTCTCCTTGCTTATGGAATTGGCCAGGACTCACCCACTGGGAAAAGGTAAAATCCTAATATTTTACTTCTTAAATTTAAGCTGCTGTACTTCAATCCCAAGAAATCTTAAATGAGGGGATGCTGTGTTGCCTTAGCAGTCAATACAAAATTAATGATTTGAGGCTTTTTTTTCTTTTTTTTTCTCTCAATAAAGCCAATAACTATTTAGAAGTTGTAATTCTGTAGTGTTTAAAATCCCTTTGGTTTGGTTTTTATATTTTTAGAATTGTCTTTGAAGATTTGTGCCCAGAGTCTTACTTTCTCTTTAATGAACTGATTGGCTTGAAGAAAAATGCAACCCTTTTTATCCTTCTCATATACTTCTTGCCTGTAACCTTGAAAGTAATGATAGTTCTCAGTTGTGTTGAAGGAGAAACCTTGGCTACTCTCACTGTATGAAACAGACTAATTTTGTTCTTTAGAGCACATTGTCAAGCAGTCAGGACTACTGAGATGCATTAAACACAAACACCCTAAATCAAATTATCTTGAGAAAACTGATTAAAACCTGCAGTACATTATTTGGTGGTAATCTTTATAGACAGTGTGTCAAAATTAACATCTTTTTTGCTGGCTTATTCATGCTACTTTCAATTTTTTTTTAACATGGCAGCAATGTGTTGGTTTATAAACTTGGTGGGACATCACTTTCTATCACAGTCATAGAAGTAAACAGTGGGATATATCGTGTGCTTGCTACAAACACGGATGACAGCATTGGTGGAGTTTGCTTCACAGAAGCTCTGGCACAACACTTAGCTTCTGAATTTCAGAGGTGAGCTTTGAATTCCAAGCATGTTCTTAGGACAGGAACTTCATTATCTAGTGCTTGATTTCAAAAAAAAAAGAAAAAAATCTAGCAGACTGTCTGTGAGTGAAATGGCTCAAATAAAGATATTAAAGGAACAGTCAGTTTTTGGGGGCTGAGGAGGAAGACTGGGAAATGCTTGGGTTTGTGTGGATATTGCCTGGAGTTGGTGTTGAACTATAACGGCTTGGGTATGAACTCTGCTGTGTTTTGAGTGATGTGTGTGACTACAGGCTGCTTCCATACTTTCAGTCACAAGCTTTTTGGGTGTCAGGGAACTGACTCTGTGGTTTTGTTTGGTTTTCTTGGTGCGGAAGCCTGTGGAGGGACATGGGTCATCAGGCTGAAGTCTGTATGTCACACCATCCTATGATGAACCAATGCATAACCACTAGCTCAGTGGTCTTGAGGTGGTCAGGTGCATACTGCCACAAAAAGACTTTTTGGATAAAACTTACTATTTTGCTGACATGTCTAATGGTCACTGTTCTGTTTCTTCTTAATCTGTGGTTAAAAATCAGTAACTTGCAGACCTTTTCTTGCTGTTCCTTGCAGCCATTTACAGAATTTGTTCATCTGAGAAATTGTGCAGAGAGACTTTAATCTGTATGATAAACACTAATGCCGGAGTTCAGGGTGCCTCCTCACAGTGGTCTCTAGTTGAAATTGAAATATATACTTTTTCTTGGCAAGCTTTCAATAGTGGCGTTGTAGTTAATACTAAAATGTTTACAGAAAGAGTTTAATAGCTCTAAACTGTTTTTCCTTTCAGAAAGTTACCGTTATCAGTCAAATTCCTGCCTTTCTAAACTGGTATCTTCTGTTTTTTTTTTTAATACAGGTCTTGTAAACATGATATTAGAGGAAACCCCAGAGCCATGATGAAGTTAATGAACAGTGCTGATATTGCAAAACACTCTTTATCGACCCTGGGAAGTGCAAACTGTTTTGTAGATTCGTTGTATGATGGATTGGATTTTGATTGTAACGTGTCCAGGTAAGGCAAGTCTTGAAGCTACTGCCTTTATATAAAACTGTTCTTGAAATCTTCCTAGGTGATATTTAGGAATTTCAATAAGCTTTGATTTCCGGTGGCATTTATTTTGGAAACAGAAGACAGAAGGCCAACTTGCTTTGTTTCATACTGATGGTTTTGTTATCCTGCAGTCTGTATAGTTAGGGCAGTAACAGAGTGTTGCCCTAATGGTTAGAAAATAAAGTGAAAAAAGGCACAAGGAGACCCCATCTCTGGAGTGTGGTTGTTGATTGAAGGGGAGTAGATACTGTAATGAAGCAAGGTGGCTGTTTCTTCCCCCTTAGTGTTTTTGTTGTTCTTGTATCTTCCCTAAGGAAAAGAAGACTTTTTTACTCTTCATCTAAATGAGCTCCAGAATGATAGGTGTCATGGAAGTTGATGCTGCCTCAGTGACAGCTGAAGTAGAAAAATGTTCTCTGTTTCTTTGTACTGCTCTGTCCTACTCTTAAGTCTCTTTTCCCTTGGGATGATACTTATTTAGATGTTTAGCTCACTTCGATTGCTCTTCCAGACTGCAGCAGCTTTAGCAAAATAAAATAGACTTTTCCATCCCAGAGCTGTGCATCCACTACTGCAGAAGTTGGAGCTGCTACGATAAAGCACAGCATGTTTTCAAGCTTGAGAAGCAGTACTGTGTAACTTGGGTTGGCTCTCTTTTGGATAAGGATGCTGATCCTGTGGACTAGTGCTGCAGACTTTGACTTGCTGTGTTCCTACAGCGTAAAACTTCCTCTTCAGGCTTGAAAGAGATGAAAGCAAGCACAAGTTTCTTTTTTAATTTGCTTAACCTATTCCCTGTGTGCAAATGAGGACACAGCTTGATTTGCCTCTGAAATTTCCAAGTGGAGTCTTTGTGTCCATTTTAAAGGTGATGAAACGGTTCCAGAATGTTTGCTGCTTTATTTTTTCACATATGAGTCAAGACAGCAATGCTGGGTTTTGTTGAGACAATACTGTTTTTTCTCTATAGTACACTGAAGAAGAATGAATGTGCATTCCATGTAGGTGTTAGTGGTGGAATTAATCACAGATACTTTCACAACAACAGAATCACTTCAAGATTAATAATTGGAAAAGAAGATATTTTTTTTAATCCTTAAATACCAGGTTGTCATGGTAGAGGTAGTTAAGATTGTATATAATGTATTGTGGTATTTATTTGTACAGTCATTGTAATATATTCCCTTTTCCCCTATTTTGAGTCTCGTGTAGTGTCTGGAAAAACCCATCTCACACTGGGTTGAGATGTGGGAGGGGGTTTAGACTAGGGTATTGGATTTTGGAGTTCTCAAACCATGACACAGGTATAGCTAGAGAACCAAAGAATATTCTAAAAATGATCATTCTTCCATTTCAGGTATTTGTCTGTAATAGATGAGATGACCCTTCTTGAATGGTTTTTTTGTGGTTTTTTTCTAGGGCCAGGTTTGAACTTATCTGTTCTTCACTTTTTAGTAAATGTGTAGAAGCCATTAAAAACCTCTTGCAGCAAGTTGGATTTACAGCAGATGATATTAATAAGGTAATAATAGAAGTCACTTGTCTGTAGTGTGCTTAGCTCCCCAAAAACAGTATTTATAGGGCCTGTTTTCCTTGCAGACTGAGAGTATTTCATGATTAAGCATTTTTACTGGGATCCAACAAAGTCTATCAAGATCTTTAAAACTCCTATATTTGCTTTGAGTTCAGTTACTTGAAGTTAAGTATAAGGTAGAGTCAAATTCGATGGTGTGTTTTTACTGCTGTATATTGAATAAGTGGAGAGGATTGGTCTCTATTTTGTGTGTTTGTGTAACTCTTGGTAGAGCTGAGGAATACCTTCCTTAAGTTCAGTATATGACCTTGCTTTTGCCTTCACTGAGCATTGCATGGGGTTTGCTGACTCTTCTGAAGAAGCTGACTGGTGCTTTTAATGACACTTAATGCTATTTCAGACTCTTAATTAGTGTTTGCTGTGTCACATCTCAGTTTTCCTGGTGGATAATGAAGCATCCCAGGCCACTGTTCAGAGAACAGCTTTTGTTTTCTAGTGGCAGTATTTTTTAGGTGGCCTTTTAGGCTCTCAGGCCTCAATGCTTTGGGAGGAAACACTTTAAATGTAAAAATAAATGAACCTGATTTGCAACTCTTAAGTTATGTTTTACATGAGGAAAAGTAGGAATTAACTTTGTTCCCAAATCTGGCTGATTTCAACAAAGTCGCTAATAAGACTTGGAATTAAGGACAAAACCTGAATTGCTTCTTCCTACAGGTGCATGATGGAAGGGTGAGTGGCAAGCAGCACAGGTTACAGCATGGGGAAATTTTAGATTCCAAGAATGGAATTTGTGGTGTGAGGGAAATCAAATGCTGAAATAAGGGCCCACAGAGTCTGTGGAATATGTATCTGTGTAGGTAATGTCCTGAGCAGGTTGTAACTCCGCCTGTTCTGGCCAGGAGGTTGGACTAGACCATCTCTGGAAGTCTCTTCCAACCTGATGCTATTTTTGTGATGAATTTCTCAATTTCTAAAAACATTACCTTATGATTCTTGCTATAAGAAACACATTTTCAAGACACCATATTTCCTTTCATTTCAAATGCAAAAGTATCAGAAGTCAACCAGAGATTACATCAGTTTTTGTTGTAACAACTACAGATACTTAAGTATCCCGGAGCAGTTTGTGGTTTTGTGCTGCAGGTTGTGACCTGTCTGTTTTATTTGACAGCAGGAAGATTTGAAATTGTTATGTCGTGTTTTCCAGGTAGTTCTGTGCGGTGGGTCTGCTCGAATCCCAAAGCTACAGCAGCTGATCAAAGACATTTTCCCAACTGTGGAGTTACTGAATTCAATTCCTCCAGATGAAGTTATTCCCATCGGTGCAGCCATAGAGGCAGGAATTCTGCTAGGAAAAGAGAATACCTTGTTAGAAGAAGAAGCACTTATTGAGTGTTCTGCCAAAGATATTCTTCTAAAGGTAGGACTAAAATTAGAATATTAGAAAATTTTACAGCTGCAATGAATATATAACACTAATGACTGATGTTAGAGAAACAGTATTGTTTTATTACTTCTACAGATTGTCCATAGGTCAGTAGTATGTGGTAACTTGGATTCATTGACAGAAAAATGACAGGAAAAATGGCTTGATTTCAAGGGGAGATAGATTGTATCTTTTCTGTGTTGTAATAGCTGGACTTTTACTTTATAGGAATGTCAATTTTATTTTTATTTTTTTTTTATTTGTTGTGATGGTAAATGTGGCAGAGGGAATGAGTGTTGGATATCTTTTCTTGTGGAGCATTGTTTTGACAATTCCAGCTCAGTGAAGCGCTTAGAGAAAGGCATGAACTCTTTTTTTCTTTTTAAAGGGAGTAGACGAGTCAGGGGCTGACAAATTCACAGTGCTGTTTCCATCAGGGACACCACTGCCAGCTCGAAGGCAGCACACCCTGCACGCCCCTGGAAACATTTCTTCTGTGTGCCTTGAACTGTACGAGTCGCTGGGGAAAGGTCCCATGAACGAAGAAGATAAATTTGCCCAGGTGAGTATGTACACACTCGTGCATTTTTAATAGCAACCACTGGAAAATCTGTCGAGTCTGAAAAACAGTATGGAAACCAATCCCACCTCTACCAAAACTTGTTAGAAAACTTGCATCTCTCTGGGCATCAGTCTTCAATCATTCTTCTCTACATGCAAAGTATTGAAGCACTTTATAAAGAAACTGAAGTTTCCCTTTTTCATTCCTAAATGCCTGGCAGGGCTCGATGTTTGGCACTACAGTAGTAAGCTCAACTGGGGTGAGAGATTCCAGTCATTCCAGTAGGGCACAGATTTCCAGCATTTTAAATATAAAACTGCTCAATATAATGATGTAGCTAGTGTGTGTACTGCTGATTACTTTTTGATCTTCCTAGATTGGATAGGATCTTGGTATAACATTAAATTTGATTTTTCACAATTGTAAGATGATGTGATTATTATCAAGTGAGGATTTAAAGATCTTAAGCAAGAGTCAACTTGCAGAGAGAACACAGCTTGTTTAAAACAGTGATGATGTGCTTTCCTTGGAAAGCATTGAGAAAGGGGCAGATGTGTCTGAAATTGATGGACTATTTGAGAAAATAGTTATTCTACCTTAGTCCTGTCCAAATATCTTTAGAGGGATAGGGAAAGGATGTTACCTAATAATTACAGAACTGATCCTAAGTGAAGGGAGATGCTCAGCTCTTACTGTAGGCTGTGGCAGTTGTAGGTCTCCAGCTATCTCAGTGGTAAATCCTGAAACAAAAGCACAGAAACAATAGTACAAATAGCTAAAAATACATAAATTGGCACTACAGATAAAGGAAGCCCACTAGGGCATGCCTCAATTTGGAATTCCCAGTACAAGTTGCTAAACAGAATGTGTTTCACATCGGAGCTGTTGTGTCGCTTCCATTAAACTGCTGCACAGGAGTTTGGAGAACTTGATTATAATTTAACTCCTTTTTTTTTTTTTTTTAAATAGATTGTACTCCAGGATTTAGATAAAAAGGAGGATGGCCTACATGATATACTAACTGTTCTCACTATGAAAAGGTACCCAAAATATTTATTGCTCTGCTGTTTACCTTACTGCATCCCACTTGTGACAAGCAGTCTTTGCTCCTGGTACAGAATGTTTAATTTTGTATTGAGAAATTTCAGCATTTCATTGCTTACAGGGCTGTACAGTCCTGGCAGGGGCAAACTCTGTAGGAATGTGGGTTTTCTGCCGTACCTTCAGTGTTTTCATTGTTTGATTTCTAAAGAAATAAATCTTAATACAATTGTTTAGGTTATTTTTAGCAACTTCTGAACTGTTGATCAGTTTAACCATGCTTGAGAGCAGTCAGGATCTCAAACTTCCCATGGAAGGGGGTTGGGTAGTTCTGCCCGCACTCTTGGGAAAAACTGAAGGATATTTTGTCTTTTTTAGTTACAAAGGAATCCATGAAGCGTTGCAGCATTTACAGGGAAAACCTGTGGCTCTGTCCCTTCAGAGGCAGATTTAAGTAGAGAGACAGTACTACAGGAAATCAGGACTGATAAATCTACTTTTTACATGTTCATCTGGGGACTTTTTGTAGGAAAGTATGAAGTTTGTATGAAAGTATGTTTTATGGGGATGACAGGATATTGAAAAAATCTCTCTAACTTCCCTAGGCCTTAATAGGAGTGCTTGGGCTCATTTGAAATAGTCTAAATAGTTTATAAAGATATCTGAAGGTGGAATTCTAAGTAGTCCAGGCATCTTTGTCTTCTCAGGGCTGCCCTGAATTTCATATTATTTTCGTAAATGATACGCAAGTTGTGTAGATGTTGCTGAAAAACTAAACCCGCACTTGTTATTTCAGTTCAAAATACTTAATTTTATTACCATGGCTATCACATGTATTAAAGCCTGTTAATAGACCTCACCTAAAATACCTTGTTTGTCATGCAGAGATTTGCACTTAGCACTGGTAAGAAAAGCATCATAGGGATTATGGATGCAGCTCTGTCATGCAGAAAAACGGCATTATTTTAAAGGAGGTTTAAGTAACAGGTGAAAAAGGGAGAGAAAGTTCAGTGGAGCACATTTATTTCTATCTGAATATTTTGTGTGTCTGTGTCTAGCTGAAGTGGGATTCACTACTGTCTCTTAATTCCTGGATTTTCAAAATAAGGGTTTTCCTTATTGAAGAAGATCCTTGGAATTTAAAGACTACTTACACTTTTTTAAAAGTTGAGTTCTCACACTTTGATGTTCTTATCAGTCTGTTACTGTTACTCAGTTCTCACAATGAATATTTTGAATAATATTACACATATTCTATTTATAAACCTGTACTAAGTAAACTCAATTACAGTATTTAAACACGTTCCTGAGTCTGTTTCAGCATATGTGGAGAAGATAGATGCTATAAGAACAAGAAATCCATATCTAAACACTCACTAAACTAAACTTAATTTTATAAACCACTTTCATCTGTGTTGAAATATTTTCTTCCCTGGATATTTTGATGCTGATCTTTCTTCCTTTCATTGATGTTAAGACTGTTGTTTATTCTCTCTGGAACATGCAGTGGCATCCTGAGTGTTGTGTTGAGTCCTAAACATATCCCTCTCTTTTATCTAGGGATGGGTCCTTGCACGTTACCTGCACGGATCAAGATACCGGGAAGTGTGAAATCATCACTGTTGAAGTGGCGTCGTAGCCTGTTGTGAAAGGCAACATTTTTCTAAGTTGGTTTTTGTCTCTTACTTCCTTCTCTGCCAAAGCAATGACTCTCTGGGATGTCTTTGATTCTTAGAGGACTGTAATAAACTCAGCACATTAATTTGCCACCAAGTCTGTTTGGAGTGGAAAGCATGGTGCAGTATGTTAATCAAGACATGCAGACAGCAGATCATTGAATTATCAGCACTTGATTTAAAAAATGCGAAGCACAAATGCTTGTGCCTGTGGTTCAGCAACAAGCATATTACATACACAGTCTGAAGATTTCTCCTTTCAGGTACTTTTCAGGTCCTGTACCCAATTGGTGAAAATCCACTCTCTGATAACTGCACCAGATTGTAACTGAAGTTCTGTGAGGTCTTGATGTTGCCCAAAACCATGAAGGTGGTGTCTATTCATGCTGGCCTGTTGAGCTGTTGGGTTTTGGTTTTTTTTCTGGAGTAACTGTAAAATGGTTTTGTGGTATTACCTGAAAAATATGTGTAAGAGTTAAATGTGCTTATTTATGTGTTATTAAAATACATTTTTTTTATGCAGACCTGGCATTCTCCATTCTGCGTGGCACTGTTCCAACCTGTATGCCATATATTTGGGCATAAGCTGCAGGGTTTTTCAGTAAGGAGATGGGGCAGGCAAGTGTAGTTATGGGATTTGAGGGTCTCAGCCTAATGTGCAGTTAAGGGGCAACAGTTCAAGCTGACAGCCAAGTGTTGTAAAATACTAAAAATGTCACAAAGACCCTCAAAATCAGATAAAAATTAGGGTAGTGCTACCTGTCTGGATTTGAGGAGACCTATGTTCAGTTATCTGTTTTAATACAAGCTTCTCAAATTATCTTGTATTTCAATATTTTTCCTATCTCACAAAAGCAATAGATACTGTATGGCATAGTAGGCTGTGAAAAAGGAAAAAAAAATTAGGCCTGCCTTATCCCTGGCTCTGGAAAATGAGTGAATAGTTCATAGAATCATAAAATATCCTGAGTTCAAAGGGATCCACAAGGATCATCAGTCCAACTCCTGGCTCTGCACAGAGTAACCTCAAAACTCACTCCATATGTCTGAAACATTCTCTGATCTGAGAGGCTTGGTGCTGGGACTACCTCCCTAGGCTGAGGATGGAGCTCTGTGGAACCCCACAAGTGTCTGGATGTCAGCCTGATGTCATCCCCTTCACTGTAACTTTGTGTCCAACCTCTGAGCCAGTTGCTCGCCTGTTGTGTAACATGGTTATTCAGCTGTATCCAGAAGGATACTGTTGTGAGACAGTATCGAAAGCGTTACTGAAATCCAAAGATGTAACACCACCTGGCTTCCCCTGGTAACTGGGTGGGATTCCTTGTTGTAAAAGGAAACTGAGTTTGTCCAGCAAGATTTTCATGAAGCTGTGCTGACTGTGACCAGTGACTGCATTGTCCTCCAGGTGTTTTATAATACCTCTCAGAATAATCTCCATAATTTTACTGCTGAAGTGAGACTGACAGGCCTGCAGTTCGCTGTTTCCTCTGTGAAAACTTCTAAAAGGGATCTTGGAAAAGCCAGAGTCTGGGAATGTAGGGGCAGTGTAGCTCCACAGCCTTATAAATACTCATGAAGAGACACCGAGGTGCTGCTTGGTTGGGTGCAGGTTTGTGGGGTTTGGAGCAAACTCGAAACCTCTACAGGTTCAGGCTCTTCTCCTAGAAAACCAGTGACAGGATGAGAGGGCACAGTCTTAAGCTGTGGCAGGACAGGTTTAGGTCGGACATTAGGAAGAATTTCTTCACAGAAAGGGTGATTAGACATTGGAATGGGCTGCCCAGGGAGGCGCTGCAGTCACCGTCCCTGGAAGTGTTTAAGGAAAGACTGGACGTGGCACTGAGTGCCCTGGTCTGGTTGACACGATGGTGTTGGATCACAGGTTGGAGTCGATGACCTCAAAGGTGTTTTCCAAACCGATGGATTCTGCGAAAGCCACATGAAGAGGAAACACCGCATTTGAGGAGGGCGCTGCGATCATGGTGTAACTTTTTTTTTCCTACAAGTGCACGAACCGCTTCTCCGCGGTTCCTCCTTTCAGCTTTGCCCCTGATGGGTCCGGGGAAGCTCCAAATCCGCCTCGCTCCATTGTGCCCCCTGTCTCACCGCGTTCCCGGCCGGGTCCCGCCGGGAGCTCCTCACGGCTGAAGCGCGAGGGGAGGGGCGGGGCCCGCGCGCGCCAGGGCCGCGCTCTGTGCCCCGCCCCCTTCCGGCGGGGGGCGGAGCCGGCGCGGCCCGAGCGCGGCCCCCCCCAAGATGGAGGGCTGGCGAGGAGGTGAGGGGGGAGCGCGCCGGGGTCGGGGCCGCCCGGGGCGCTGCCCGCCCCGCGCCGGGCGATGGGGGGGCGGCGAGGACCGAGCGAGGGCGCGAGGGGAGGCTCCCGCCCGCTCTGGGCGCTGCGAGCCGCTGCCGCTCTCCGGCTCCGTCAGGATCGTCCGCACCGCCCCCGCCCGCAGCCCCGCGGCGGGGCGCGGAGGGAAGGGCTGGGGGTCCTGCCCGCTGCCCCGGGGGTCTGCCTGCCTCCCTGAGGATCCCGCCCGCTGTCCCAGGGGCGCTGTGGGAGGAGAGCGGGAGGTGGGAAAGACGCTGGGTCCCGGCGCGGCCGCGGAAAAAGCACCGCCGCCCCCTCCCGCCTTCCCGAGCTCCCGGCGCTGGGACCGGCAGAGCCCCGCGGAGCCCCGGGCACGGCCCCGCGGCTCCCGCGCTGCGCTCCATCCCACCCCGGCATCCCGGCGCTTCCCGGGCGCTCCCGCCGAGCCGCCCCGCGGGGTGTTGCGTCCCCTGAAACCCTCCCAGCTGACAGGGCACCCGCGATCCTTCTGGAAGAGCGCCGTGGGTCTCTGCTTCCTCTTCCAGTCTCCATGGTTGCATCGCGAGTGCTCCTTGCGCTTGGCTACAGAAATTTGGCGGTCTGTTAAAGAATGGAGGTTTCCTTCTTGCCTTGGTTCAGTTATGGGATGCTGTAATTGCAGGAAAATTGCTCGGCGCTTAGTGCAGCTTTTGCCCGTGGAAGTCTCTGTCCTCCAAAATATTTGTTGTTCTTTATAAATGAACGTACTGTGCAGAATAAAGGTGCAGGGAGGGAATCATTGGTGTGTTTCACTTGACCCGTTAGAGAACGGTTGAGTCTGAGACGTTACTGCTGTACAAGAGACTCGTGGACTGCTGTCACAAATGGTAATGTGGGGACTCTGGGATAGGGCAATAATGATTTCAATTTAGCCGAGACATTAAATAGGATTCTTTACCAATTTTCTTATTGTAGCCTGGTATGTGCCATGTCTAGCTTCACTTGAGACCCTCCAAGAATTATGTAGGAAGGAAAATCTCAGATGTAAATCCATTGGAATCACCAACAGGAGTCTAAAGAGTTATGAGGTGGAATATTTGTGTGACTACAAGGTAGAAGAGGTAAGAGAAACACAGACCAATTTGATCACTCTTTCAGCTGAAATTTGGAAGTGAGCTAAAGGTAGTTTTGTTCATAATATAAAGCGACAGGCAGTGAGGACAAAGCTTTTGCTGTCATCAAATTAAATATCTTTTAAACTTTGAGCTGTAAACTGAAAGCGGTGTAAACTGCTGCTTTCAGTATGTGGAAGGAAGATCTTTTCCTGAAATTACAGAAATGTTAGAATATGAAATGTTTCATCTTTATGTATCTAGAATTTAAATAAGATGCTGATGCTTTAGGTGGTAGTTTGGTATGAATTATGCCTCTCCTTTATTTGCAGACAACCATCTGTATTTCTCTTTTGACTCTTTTAGTCTGATGAAGAGTTAGGGCCATGTGCTGTAACTGGATTCCTTTGAAATTCAGTCTCAGGATTTGGCCTTGTTACAGTTATTTGGCCTTTTTAAAATCAGTACAAAATGTATGCTGCTTCATTGTAACTACAGTATTACATGTATCAAACTGATTACTGCTTTAAGAGGATGGTTGATATAACAAACAATGGGGTTTAGACTTTTCTGCTAAATTTTGGATTTTTTTTTTTTTGTTCTGTATGTGTTACAACTACATTCTGTTTGTGCATATGAGTCATACAGCAAGTTAGCATAATGTGCCACCTGTCTTGACAAATTAGCCTCCTCCTCCAGGTATGCTGTTAGAGATCAGAATTCATCCCACCTTTTGATTTCTTTGTCCCTAGAGATGATAAGTAAAGTACGCAAAATTGTCCTTTATTTGCAAACAGAAAACCTGATTTTTCTCTTTCTCCCCAGTTGTAATTGTTATGGGGACATCAAGGCTCTCTGCACTGTATGCTTGATCCTTAACTCCAGATCTCTTTTGTTTGTCTGTGTGCCCTGTGATGCTGGATTGCAGTAAAAGGAACTGTGGCTAAATCTATATCTATTTCTGTGTTTCAAGGGCAAAGAATACTATCTTGTGAAATGGAAAGGATGGCCAGAATCTTCAAATACTTGGGAACCTGAGAAGCATCTGAACTGCCCATTGCTTCTTCAGAACTTTCTTAGTGACAAGAATGAATACTTGTCTCGGGTGAGAGAAGGCAAAGCACTGAAAGTGAGAAACCACATTAAAGCTTTGAAACCTGCCGTTGCAGATTATGTTGTAAAGAAGGCCAAGCAAAGAATAGCCCTGCAGAGATGGAAAGAAGAACTCAACAGGAAAAAGAATCACAAAGCAATGATCCTGGTAGAAAACACTGTGGATCTTGAAGGCCCTCCCTTAGACTTCTACTACATTAATGAGTATAAACCTGCTCCGGGGATAAATGTGCTCAATGGAATAACGACTGGCTGTGAATGTGCTGACTGCCCTGCTGAGAAATGCTGTCCAAAGGAGGCTGGGTTTATTTTGGCTTACAATAAACGTAAGAAGTTAAAAATCCAGCCTGGCTTGCCCATCTATGAGTGCAATTCCTATTGTAGGTGTGGGCCTGACTGCCCTAATAGGATAGTGCAGAAAGGTACACCGTATTCCCTTTGCATCTTCAGAACCAACAATGGCCGTGGCTGGGGAGTAAAAACCCTCCAGAAAATTAAAACCAACAGTTTTGTGATGGAGTATGTTGGAGAGGTATGTATCTCCTTAGATGAATTACATACAATAAAGGAAATATTAGATAAAGTCTTTGAGCTTTCTCTCAGTTTTAACACTTCTTGACTTCTTCACCCAGAGGGTGGTTGGGCACTGGAACAGAGAAATGGTCACAGCACCAGACCTGACAGAGTTCAAGGAGTGTTTGGACAATGGTC